GGTGAGGAGGTGCCATGTCTGAACTACCTGCACTGGCGCTTGAACCCTTTGATTAGAGCCACCTACCTAGCTCATGAGCAAGATGAAGTGGCTGGAGTTGCAGGACTGGCCACTAGTGCAGCTCATCGTTTGCAAAGCTTGTGCTGTGAACATTATGGCGACAGCAGGCTAGTGGAAAATGCTCACCAACATGGCAGAGACTTGTTGAGAAACTCAAAGCATGACACCTTCGGCTTGACAAGGATCTTTGCAAACACTCTGGTTTCTGGTGCATTGGAGGAGAGAAATATATGCACACTGTCTGCTTCTAATGCAGACAAGGTCAGGCAAGACAACACTTTCCTCAGAAAGGGTGTGGTCAAGAACTTGACATCCAAAGGCTACAAGCTGCCAAAGGACACGCAGCAGATGATGCAGAAAAAACAAGGCCAGCACTCTTGGCCCAGCCCAACTCCTGCTGGGTTGTTCCAATCAGTGGCTGCCACTGCAGCTTTTGCCCAATGTTAGAAATGTGCATTTTCTGTGTAGGTTAATGTGTGTTGTGTTTATATTGTGTTATGTTATGCTATGTTATATTCTATTATGTTGTTGATTCTGCAATGTGTGTAGTATCTTGTGCAATTAAGTGGGTGAGTGGTTTGTTAAGTGGTGGGGTAAATGAATAGGTGGTTGGGTGGCTAGGTGTGGGGATGTGGTGGCAAGGTTGCAAATAATTTGGCTTAGAATTTGGGGATAGGGGAGGGGGCGGGGGGTTGGGCTTAGGTGCTGTTAGGTTCAGAGTAGTATCCCAAACTTGTTCTGAAACAGTCTAAGGAATGGACTTTGTCTTTCTTCAAGGGCAATTTCCCAGGACATGCTGTGACAGACTCATGGTTGTCCTGCTTGGTGCAAGCTGGAGACTTTATGGCCCATCAAAGCACTGGACGACTGGTCAGGGTCATTGCTTCAGCTGCATATGGCTTTCTGAGCTGGGAGGCTACTGTTGAGCACTTGGCTGATGGTTCTGCAGCCTTCATTTGCAGACCCAGTTTGAAAGCAATACAATGGGAGCATCTCCTGAATTTGCAGGACTGGTTGGTGGTGGGAACTGCTCCAGCTCTTCTAAAGGATTCAAGGGGTCCAGTGTGCTGGCTGCAGCAAGGCGAGCCAACAACCTTGCCTTGTGCACTTTGCCTCAGAGGCCTTCCACTCAACAAAGAACAGCTGCTGCAGTTGATTCTGCTGCTGGGTGGTGTGGCGCCAGCTGGAGCCAACAAGCGACAGTTGCAGGAATATTTGATTGACAACCTTCTGCCACAGGAGGACAAAGCCAAGGGCCTTCAAGAGTTGGACAGAGTGCATGGTGCCAAGAATTTTGAGGACGAGATTGATTCTGAGCTGTCAGAGGTATTGAGTGAACTTGGTAAGGAAGATGGCAATGCTCAAGATCTCAAAGATTACAAGCAAAAAAGGCAAGTCCAGAGGATGAAGAGGAAGCTGCAATCTGCTGATATGGAAATTCAGCAGGGCAAGAAATCTTCTGGCAAGGGCAGAGGCAGGGGCAAGGGCAAGGGCAAGAGAAAAAGCAAACCACAACACAAGAAAAAACGCAAGATGTGGGTCAAGAGGCCAAAGAGGCAGGGCACTGTGCCTGATGATGCCTTGGGGCCTCCAGAAGAAACATCAGCAGCACCCCTGGAGCCTGCTGTGGATGCTGCAGCTCATGCAGGTCTTGCTTCAGGCACAGCTGCAGAACAGACTGCTATGCTTAGTGGTGAGGCTATGGCTGGGCATGAGGATGCTGGGCTTGAGGCCATGCTTCAAAATGAGCCCTCCAGCGGTTCTGCTGGGCCCAGCTCTGCTGGTGGGCCTCCCAACACTGTTCTTGTGCCAAGAAGGGGTTCTTCCATGGCAGGAGAGAGAGTTCCATTTGTCAAAGTCAATAAGTCCCCTGAAGAAATACTTGGACAGCTGTCACCCCCCAAGTGCCACTTTGGCCTCAACTTCCAAGACCATCGGTGGACATCCAAGTTTAACATTGACACCAGCAGCTTACCTGCTCCATACAACCAGAAGAACATGACAAGGTTTTTTGGGCTCCAGACTACATGGCAATCAGCCATTAAGCAAGTGCACAGATGGAACTGGGAGAAGTGGAGGCACTTGCAGGCATCAGCACCATTGCCAGATGGTGTTGCAGAGCAAGTTCCTGGAGAGGTGCCAGATCATTTGATGAAGGAGCTGGAAGCTGTGGTTCAAAGGCTTGGTAATCCCAAGAAGCTTGCAAAGAAGTGACACATGCTGGGCCCAGCAGGAAAAGTGCATTCTTTCCAGACTTGCTTTGTTGCAGCAGTTGCATCCACAGAGCACATAATACCTGTCATTGCAATAAAGCCTTTACATTCCAATCTGGTGCCAGGTGCTCCATGCGGCTGTCACAGATTGCTGGCAGTGGAGTGCCAAAAGGGGCCATGTGCAAGAGTTGCAGGGGTCACAAAGGAGAGCAATAATAGGAAACAGTTAGCATCCTTTAGCTTTTACTAGCTCTTAAGCCATCTTTCTGGGGTTTGGCTCATGATTCCTTGATTTTACCCTCACTGGTGAAGCTGTATGCCCCAAACAAGCATGTAATGTGCCTGGATGGGCTTTCATTGGCATATGACTATGACTAGGCACACCTGATTAGATTTGGCTGCAAATCATTTGCTATTTGGAAGCCGTTGGGACAATTCAAGTAGCACAGCCAGGCTGTGATGGGTCGGTCCCGGCTAGCAAAACAACAGTTCTTGTTCTGTTCTCTGTTTTCCGTGTCCACAGGGGTCCAGAACGGCAGCACAACATCTTCTTGAGGAAGCACTTGACTGTTGGCCCAGGACGTTCCATGCATGTCCCATGGCAGCTGACATAGGCACCGTATCCTTTGGGTCAGTAGCCAGGAGCCATGATCTCCGTGGAGTTCGCGCTGAATTCCAGACACCAAAGAGGCTGAGCCAGAAGGGCATACTGTTCAATACTATTCATGTATTTGCGACAAAGGGCTACGCTCCAGCATTATAATGATCACCTAAGGAGAAAGGGCAGCATCGACGAGTTGGAAGGACCCGGTGCTTGAAATCCGTAGTGGGCGTGCTACTGACCGTGGCTGTGAGGGAGGGATTGTAGCAAACTCCAGTGGTTTTCATGTGAGCCAAGTAAAAGGGCAACACTTGTTGGTGGCACAAGGGCGCGCGGCAGTTGGTCCTAACGGCGCACTGCCATGCAACCCATCGGCAACACAGTGACAACATGTCTTGCTTGAACACGTGAACGACTTTAATTAGGCATCCTGCATTCACGACCTCGAAGTGATTCAAAGTCGACCCTCTCTTCGCGGCCGGGTACACCTTTACCAGGCAGGAGGTGGGCATTCGTTGCACAACAAACTTGTGCAAGAGAACCAGAACCGCACAGCAGCACGAGTCACATGGGTCAGAAATTATATGTCCTCAATGTCTCGCTGTCTTTTAGTCTTCGGGAAGGGGATGCTCTCCAGACGTGTTCTGGAACACCAGCTTCCTGTGGGGCGCCTCTGCCAACCGTTGCAGCGCCTCTTGGAGCAGCACTGGAAGCGCTCTTTGTCTGTGCGAGTGAAGTTGCGAAATTCAGAGAACATGCGGCATCGTAAGAGGGCAGGAGGTTTGCCGAGTCAAAGCGACATCACAAGCATCTACTTGTAGGATCCTAAGCTTAAATGGACCCCCCCCCCTGTGAAAGCAAATCTGACAAGTGTGATCACATCTGTGAACGCTAATCAGATCAAATCTGACGGAAGCCTCACATCTCATGGCTTTCCGAGGCTCTCCTCATCTGTGCCGTTGCCTCGTGGGCGGCGACCTCCATCAGCAACCTGCAGGAGGAGGCCACAGAGATGACCATGATTGAAACAATCGTCAGTGCCCGGGTTGTTAGTTTGAAATCCAGGTCACCGTCATGGCTGGGTGACGCGTGGGCATGCGGTTGTCAGACAACTTTGGAAAATTGTGGTAGGCCATACACCAGAAACTACTGCTGTGTGATGGGCGGGCATTTCGGTGGCGGCAGCAGTGGTGGTGTGGCGGTGCTTTTGGTGGCGGTGCTGGGGATGGAGATGCAGGTGGAGTTTTGAGGTAGGGGTACTGTGGAGGCTGCAGTTGTGGTGGTTTCCGTTGCAGTTGGTGGTAGCCTGTGCTAGTGGAGCTGTTGTCCTGGCGGTGGAAGGTGTAGTGGTGCGGTGTCTTGTTCTTTACTGTTCTGTAGAAGGTCTATCTTCAGCGAGGCATGCGTTGCAGGGCCAGCATTAGGCGGAAAGCCTACGCATTTTTGCCTCGATCAACTTCTTACAAGAAATCCGCAGCTCTGAGGTCGGCAGGTGTTAACTGTTAACAATAGGCATCCTCCATGTAGGCTCTCCTGGCACCCCAAACTACAACACCATCCTGCAGAGCAAAAGGTTTCGGCTGTAAAATGGTGTTTTGGGTTATCTGCCTTCAATAGTTTTCAAGAAGCCCGATCGGTTCAGCGCACTAGAGCAGTGAGGTGCTCTGAAGCAATCTGGCCAGTTAAAGGCGGTAGTAGTGGCAGTTTCCGTGCTTGATCCTGTTTGTGGTTGTGGTGGGTGTTGCTGTTGGGGTCATGGTTGTGGAGGTGGTCGTTGTATGGGTGGTGGTTCTAGTGTCGCTCATCTGGCCTCAAATGGTAGTGAGAGAAAAATTAGATGCAATAGCCAGCGCTTCCATCATCGTTATCATCAGCATTACGAGTACTCGTAGCAGCTGTAGTTCTAAGGGTTGATGGCGCCGGTACCGTTTTAGCATGATTTGGAGTGGTTGTTATGATGGTGATGGTGCTGGTGCTTGTGGCGGTGGCGGTGGCGGTGGCGGTGGCGGTGGTGGTGGGAAGGTTGCGGCAGTGGTGGTGCGTTGTGCAGAGGCGACGTTGGTGCCCTCCGCTATTGACGCAGTTGGGTTCGTCACCGGTGTTCTTTTTGCGTGTGCTTTCTTGGCATCATTGCTAGGAATGCTGTGGTCATAGTTACTATGAAGCTTGCCACCAAAGCATTTCAGCTATTAGATGGTTGTTGCCCCATTCCCTCTCGTGGCTGTCGTACTGCATGGTATCATACGGAAGCACGTGCGACGTGGTGAGCCATGTTACATTCTACACGAGATGCTGTCCCCAATGTCAACATTGGTCTACCTTGCAGCGCCCCATCCCCAAAGAGCTTCGATTCTTTTAAGAGTCTAGTTGTCAAAGCCCTCGATAGCCTTCAAATTTCCAAGCTCGGAAGAAGCTGAAAACAGATCACAAACCTCTCTGGAGGATTTCAGATACCCTGTCAGGTCTAGCACCCTTGGACTGCGGCAACCAAGCGGCTTGCATGTGTCGCAGCCCGAGACAAACGAAATGTGCATCAGAAATGTTTGATGCTGCCCAGCCGAATGAACTCGGCGTGGCAATTGGCTAAGGCCTGTTCTCACCTGCGACAGCCTTCGCCCCCCCATCTGCGCTGAGGCAACAAAGCAACTGTTGCGGACGGGCTTGGGATTCAGGGTCAATCCGGATGATGCTTCTCTTCAAGTTTTCGCCATCGTGGCTCTTCAGAAGCTCCGCTGCCAGAGTCGGTTGAAATCAAGCATTTTGATAATGCATGCGCAGTCCTAAGCCCGAACTATCGTTAGAATTCGTTAGACCGCTCCACAGCACAGCAATGCAGAGCGCTTCAATGTGTTGACCAAGTTGAAATGGCGCGTGTGCCATTGTCTCAGTACTTGTATGCCACGCGGCCACACAGGCTGGCACGTCACTCCGGCCGGGGTCATGAAGCCCCTCGGCAAGCCACCGGATAGAATTTCAATCTGGATGTAGTTACTGTAGTTCTTGATTTCTCGTTTTGATTATGAAGCCAAACTCTGTGCGGGCTTGATTTACAACAGCTCTTGGGGGTCAAAGCCAGACACCGCGGCTTGCTAGTACGTCCTGACCCACGAGTCACAACTTCGGACTTTTGTGTCTCGCGAGTTCCGTCAGGCCTGCGAGTCACCGCTGCTGTTGAGATTCCACATCAAGCTTCGTCAGTTGCTGCCGGGGCGAATTATGCACCTGGCAAGCCTCTGCTGTCTTGGAGTTACAAGCGCCTCAGACACAGATGGCAGTCTCGTGTTCAGTTTGGAATACGACTGTACAGCTTCTTATATGGCCAAGCGCCATGCACCCGTTACACGGGAGCATGACGAACTTTGATATATGTGTGTATATATATATAACTAACAGTACGCCTGGCCTGTTTTGAACGGCCGGATTTCTACTGTCTCAGGCTCTCGGGAGCCTCAGTGGCCAAACTGAATGTTGGTTGGATGGCGGAATAACTCAGTCACTGCTGAGAGGTGCTGATCCCACCGATGTGTCAAAGCTCACAAGCAACGATGGGCTACACAGCCCTGCAAGTCAAAGGGTTTGACAACAGGTAAGGAAAACACCTCCAGTGACTCATAGACTCATTCTGGCTTTCTGGAAAGGTCGGACTTTCGTGTACGACATTGCACAACAGTAAGTTCCCAGCAGATATGCTGTGGCATGATGTGGCTAAGGCTGGCAAAGGAGCTCCGAGAAGAATTGGGCAAAGCCGAGGCAGCTTTCTCCCACGAGCCTGGGGACCTGGAAGTCCATTGTTTTCTGCACAACGGCTCTCGTCTGACATTCTGGAGACATTGAGCAGATTTTTGGAGCTGTCGTTCGCGAGACATTCATGCCATGATTGACACCACACTGTTACTATTCACAAACTCACATGTCACTTTGCAGTTCGCCGATGGAAGCAAAGATTGTCGTTTTATGGGTTCTTTTTGGTAAGCATCTCGCGAGGTGATCACATCAGGAATCCAGTCTTTCATGTTCACTACGGGGTCGCAATAAGAACGATGTGGCCCAGGATACCTATGCTGAGTAAAGAGTCAGTTTTAAAGAGTCGGTTTGGCAGTCTCCGTCCGCAGCCGTAGGCCACTCAGGACTTGCTTATTCAACCGCCAATCGTCAGAGCTAGTGTTCTGCAGTAGAGGATATGACAGGAAGTCTTGCGCAAACAAACATCCATCATTTGATCAGCAGCCATGGTGATCATCCAGGACGGTAGCTGGGGATGTCTCAGTTCCACAAGCTCTGCTCCCAAGCAGTGCCCATGCGTGGGCTTGGGTGTGAAAATGAAGAGCGAGATGCTACAGTAGCATCGCCGCAGAGCTTTCGTACAGCACTACTTCGGGACCAGAAACTACCCATTTGTTCCAGAAACGCGCCTCCTCGATTCCCAAACCTACCGGTGCTGTGCTATATAGTTAACAGGATTGCAGCGACGGCAAGCCGCAGATCATTTCCCGCCGTTGGGTCCACAGAATCTGAGTGGCTGGATTCGGAGGAATCTGGGGCATTGACGGGGATTCGAAGGGATTTCTAGAGTCGCTTCTGTTTCTTGAATTGCAATCCATTCTCCACCTGTCGATCCGCCTTCAGAGTTTTCTATCCATCCAACTTAAGATCGGGCCAACACCAAGAGCGTACCATGGCTTTGGCAAGGCTTGAGCTAAGCCAAGAGCCTGCGGGCAGTCAGTGCAAGCCACGCCACTTCCACGTAGACACCAAAATCACCAACGCAACTTAGCTGCAGAGCCAAGGAAGTAAAATCTTACTGATCCCAGCAATCCAAAGCTTCACAAGGTTTGATTTGAAAGTTTGTTTTGTCCTAGGCAGCCTGCCGGACAACAGCGCTCGAGTGGATGTTGAGGTGCCATGAAAGATTAGAATCAGAATCCTAGGGCACAGTCCTTCTGGAAGGCATTTTTCGACATCCTATGCCTGCAAAATTGCGTTAACTCACCTGGAGATTCATCAGTGCTGTGGCCACAAGAGATTCCAGGGCTTAAGCAAAAGCACCAGGATTATGCCAAGATGGCACTGTCTGGGTTGGGTGTGCCTTGTGTTCTGAGCTGGGGTTGTTGCGCATTACCCGTTGGAGTCGTCTAAAGAGCAGGCCATTGACATGAGTCTTGGAAGCCTTTTACTTTACAAGCTCAGTAGATCTTCGCAGCTTGTACTTGATGATGTGAGCACAACATGAACACAATTGTAGCAGCGATGAGCTGTGCCCCCTAGGCCCTAGAATATGCAATTAGCAGCATAGGGCGTAGTCATCACAGGGCGGCTCAAGCCACAGGCGCTGAAGGCCCAAGCAAGGGCGCTTCGCGGCAAAGCAGAGGCTTTGAGAACAGCAGCAGGCACGGCCAGTGTTATGGAAAGCATTTTCGGTGCATAGGGCCCAATGGTGGAGCAACTGGGTTTGCGGGCTTGGGTTCAAGAGCATGACCTTACTGTTTACAATTGGCATGTCTCCCTGGGTGCTGAAGTCACGAGGTAACCAATGGTAAGAGGTCAAATGTGTGTTTTTCTCACAGGGCTTACGTGGAGCTAAGAGCGCAGTTTTCTTTTAAGCAGTATGAGCATGCTGGCCTGTCCGAGACCGCGCCCAAACTGCACCTGCCGTCTTGCAGGGCCATGCCCGGCGCCAAGTGTTCAGTATTCAGTTCTACCAGGAGAGAACCGTGCCATGGATTCGTAGATCGTAGCCAAAGCGGATCTGCTGTAGATCACACATGCGTTTTGAACAGACAGGTGAGGCTTGCAGGAGTACTGTAGGCTCCAGATTCAAAGTCTGAGGATTCAGTCCAGTTTCGTTGCAGCTCGATGCAACTGGCATTCAGGAGATATTGGCCGCTTGGGCCTTTCGCAAATACTCTGATCGGAAATTCAAGAGACGGCGCTCATTGCAAGCTGAGTTTGGGGAGTGCAAGATGAGTACTCTTGAATCAAGACACATTTCAAATGCGGTGCAGCATTGGCTTCGGGCTACACAGAGAGAGAGAGAGAGAGATAGATAGATATATATATATATATATATTAACCCCCCCAAGACCAGCCTCGACACTTATTACACAGGATTCTTCACTCTACTTACCTGAGTGACTGTGTCAAAAACACTGTAAATCGCGGTGAATTTGAGCTTTCACATTTAATATTCCTATGTTATTATATTTATAAGACACCCCAAATGGAGACCCAAAAATGGACCTTTTTTTCGAAACCCATTCTATACATTACTCAGGCTGCATACTTTGTGCTTCCAGCTGATTGTCTCTTTAAGACATATCAACCTGGTGATACAAGTACTTCAGCAATCATTGCCACTATTTACTGCATCTGTCTCCACTGACTGAGGCGAAGATATGTTTCACAGCCGCCATAGTCTGCTACTTGTTTAATATTGGGGGTGTTATTTATTGAAAAAAGAATGGATAGGGCTGCCTTTAAAATCCCTTTAAACTTCATGAAAAATGAAAAACTAATCAATTGCATTAATGAATTGATCTAGATAATGAATTACATGAGTTAATTAATTGGACTAATCAGTTTAAACATTATTTAGTTAATTCACTTATTAATAGTTAATGAATCACAAATTGAATTAATTAAGTCATTAAGTAATTATTCAACCAATTACTAAGCTTCCCCTGATTCACTATTAGGTGGCCTCTTTGAAAAGTTGTCTTCCTCTTTCAAGAATCGTCTTCAGGATTTGTAATCTCCTGAGTTTATTATTTGATATGGTAGTTTCCCTAAATAGGTTGACCCTGGTATATACCTCTATTCATTAAACCTTATTAGATATAGGGACCCCATGGTGCATCTAATTTTGGGAAACCCCCATGTTAGGTGGGTTTTAATTTCAAGGGGAAGGGATTACATACATTGCGAATTCTGAACAAGAATTCTTAAGCCCTGCACTCCTGGTCGCCTTATTTCCTATGTGTAAATCCTTCACTACATGTACTTTAAATTTAAGGAAATTCTCAAGTCTTTGGCTTCTCCTTTCATAGTTCCGCAGTAATTGCGTTTCAAATTCCAATTGGAACTAGCAATTAGTCAGAAAATTTCATGTACTGGAGGCCATGAGACTACTCCTAATAAGGGGATTATGTAAAGACAAAAGGAAGCCCAAGACTTGAGAATCTCTCAGCAAAAAATCATGAACAGCAATACCAGATTCCAAAATTTCAAAACAATACAGTCAATTTTTTGGAAATTCCAAAATTGATAAAAAATTCCCAAATTCCAAAGACATGCAGTCAAATAATTGAAAATTCCCAAATCCCGAAATCCAAAAATTCACAAATTCCAAAAATCCGAAATTCCACAAATCCAAAAATCACAAATTCCAAAATTCCAAAAAATCCAGTCAAAATTTTGGAATCTCCATAGTCTGTGCATTTGGGAATTTTAGAAGTTTTGAATTTCCAAGAATTTGCCTGTATTTTTTTTAGATTTTTGACTTTCAGAATTCTGGAATTTTGGAATTGTTAATCCCTGAAAGGTTGATCTTGGGCGGGGGGGGCTAGCATATATATATATATATGCATAACTAAGTGGATGCGGCAGGTGGGGATTGCTGCTGCGGTCCATGGCTTTCTGCTGATTGGCTTCAGCTACTGTATCCAGGCAGCCTCGTCTAACAGGCCTGCAAGGGGTGTCGGAAGCGGAGCCAAAAACCAAAACCAAGATGGTCAGTCTTCTGGTCAGTGTCAGACCGCTCTTTGCCAGATTAACGTTTCTGTTGCGAGAGGCACCTGGAGGAGGCACTGCCCTGGCTTGTGCGTTTCACAGTCATGTGCCTTGGGTTTGCACTGATCAGCTGACTTGTGATTTGCCTGTCTGTTTGTCATTGCGCCCTGACAATGAGGTTTATGTTCTCCTTGTCTTGCTGCACACTGGTGCGGGCCTCGTTTTGCACGCTCATCCACGGCTAGTTTTCAAGATGTTTAACGGACCTGGCGCACTTACAACAAATTCTCAGGTATACCTTGGGCAAGGCAAGCCAGTTCTGGCGATGGTTGGCATTTCTTTCTGCGTGGATTCGTGCTTAGTTTTGGAATTTGGTCACAAACGTAGAGATCCGTTGCTTGGAAGCTTTGGCTCTCCTGCCGCCCGTTCTGCAGTGCTGTTACGTGATGAAAACTGAGGAATGCATCCTGCTACACTGCTTGGCAAGCTTTTCCAAAGCCAACTCGGGACGTGTTCCACTTGCATACTATGACACTTGCGCAGCATTCTGATTGAAGCTCACCATGCGGCCCGTTCAGCATTTCCATAGTTGATGATCCTATCGCAGATAAGGAAGTGCTGGTCGGCTGCACAGCGACAGCGGTGCTGAGCCAATGTGGAATTGCTTCACAAAGCTCGCAAGACCAAAAAGACAAGACGCATAGCATCATCAGATTTTCATAAAAAAAGCATCTAACGTGAGCCCCAGACGGACACCACATTTAGCGTATCACCCGTGTTGCCAGATATGAAGCCCAAAGTTGGCCGACTTGTCGCATGGCAACAAGAAAGAACCTCCTGCTGCTGTGTGGAAGCAGCATTCCTTTTGAGGCTGTCTTCCTTGCGAGCCCGGCTTTCTGCCGCTGAGAGGCGCAGTGCAAGAGCCAGCTCTTGACTCCCTGAACCCGCCACCGTTGCCCAAGACGGAAAGGTTGCTTAGTCTAGACACACCCCTACAAGAAAGGCCCCTTTATAGGGAAGGCCCTTAAGATTTATTACGTCAAGAAGTGCATGTTCGTGATTTTGGTATAGTTTGAGGACTCCCAAGATCCGACAGTTCATCCGCTTGCTGAGGGGAAGCTTCAAAAATGCATACAGATTTGAGGCAACGATCACAGTGGGGACCAAAGGCGCCAGATTGAGAAACGGATGTGCAACGATGTGGGGTCGGCGCCAGTCACGGCCTCTCCTCAAAATGTGTGAGTCTAGTTCGGCATTCGCACAGGAACATGGCGGCAGTGCCGGATTGTTGGGGCTGGATGCGCGCTGTTCAGGACACTTTTTTTGTGCGGGCTTTGGGGGGCTCAAATCTTGGCAGAACGGGGGAAGGTTCAAAAACGAATGCAAGTTTCTCTCCCACAGTGGACGTACAGGATGTCAAGTACAAATATCACGCAAATCCCCCTGAACATGAATTCTGTTTTGAGCGGAGACAAGGCAGGGATTCAAGAATGAATTTTCTTGTAATGCTTATTGGCAAACAAGGCTTGAAGAGGTATCGATTTGCCAAGCATGCGCAGTATTGTCCTGCACTTGACATTGAGGCGCGGGCCACCAGGGTTCCCAAAAGAAGAAAGTCAACAAAAAACAACCGACACCGCACGCGCGTGGGGGTGAATAAACAATGATAGCCGATGTGGGTCTCATTCGTAGCGGCTGCGCCGCATTTGAAGGGTCTCAGGGGCTGGGATCCAAACCTAGGGTTGATGGTATCAGACATTCCGTGAAGTTTTCTGGTGTTAAGCGCAGGGCTCGGGAGAATGCAGATCATGCTGGGGAGGATATTCTTGTCTCGGGAGCTGCGATGTTGGGGCTTTATGGCAGACCTGAGGAGGCCAGTAAAGGGGGCCCTGGAAGCGTGAGGTTGGTGCTCGGGAGCTGGTGCTGCACCAAAGGGCCCAGCTTGGTCAGGGGAAGTTCCACATGACACCATCAATTGCTCTCGGCACACTGCGGGGACTATGGAACCAGCCAAATTTTAAGTTCATCGCGCTTTGGTGCCGGAGTGCTAACGGGGGGAGGTTGTAAGAAGAAGTTGGAAACACTGGTGCTTCACGCAAGCCCCCTGAGGCTGGGGCCGGAGACCTACTCTGTCAAGAGTCAAGACTATAGAGTATAGTTCCTCATACAGCTCATATCAAGGCTTCATGGCACGTTTCCGCGGTAACACGATTAGCATTGGACTGGTTTTGATTCATTTTTTGCGGAAGTTATAACTCCGGAGCCAGAGGCTGAGTACAGGAAAAGAGAAGCGCAACGCGTGCAGGCCAAACAGATTGTTTCTCGGTATTCTTTTCAAGAGGTGCCTCGGACTCCTTCTACCCTTGAACTCGAAGCGCCAGCCTGGCATGCAATATTTCAATCATCGTAGATGTTTGGGTCAATACCCTGCTTGATGTCCTTGTTCCACGCAGTATGTTTGCGGTCTTGCAGATTATGTTGCATCCAGGCGGAATCGTGAACTTCTCGTCGACCTGCAGAACACCCTGCAGGTAGGCTGCCTGCACATAGACGCGAGAGAGCCGCGAACCCATTTGACCAAAAGATGATTTCCTTGAAGGCAGGGCAACCCCAGGTAACTCATCAACACGTCACTGTGTGATTCTTCTCAAGAACCAGCCGCCGAGTCCTGCACAAGCACGTGAAACTAGTCACATGCCCGAGGCCGGCAGGTCAGCCACCACCTCGATGCCTGCCAGTGACTTGAGATATCTTGAGATCATATGCTTCAACGGGCGCTGAAAAGTAACATGATTGGAATTCTTTCCTCTCCCGAGCTGGCTGAAGTTTTCCCGGCCCTAATGAGGTTGCCTTGCCAGCACCACCGATGAGCCTCCCTAGCCTGGATTCGTCACAGGACCTCTCCTCAGTCTTTCCCAAAGCAAAGTCTGGACATTTGCTTCTCCAGCGGTGGTGCGATAATTCACTCGTGATGGGCTGATGAAAGACGTGGAATGTCGGAGAGCAGCAAGTGGCCACTGGTGGCGCTCTGCTCGACAGAACTTGCACTGCTGACATTTTCAGCCCTGCGAGGACTTCATCCCGCAACCGAAGCCAGCCGGTGACAAGGACGACCAGAATTGGCGTCGTTTTCGTGTGCCATGTGCTTTCCCTGGACCGGCGCTGCAGAAGGTGCTGCAGCCGCAATATGCAGCAACAAGAGCAGGAACAGTAAGTTGAGAATCATTCGCATTGTTGTGGCATCGGCCTTCCAACCAATCAGTTCGGATTCATGGACCAGGACGGAGGCTAAATCATGCTGTCTTTTGCTTGTTTTCGTGCAAGTCCGACTCACATATCCACAAATGAACGAGTGCTTGGTGTGATTTTGCTTTGCCTGATGAAGGACTCCTGCATGCCTGGAGACTATGAGTGCGGGTCTTAGCAGCAAGGATGGCGGATGGAGCTGGCATGGCAATCTTTGAGAGCTCATGCTGCAGGGCGGGCATTTGGGGTCTATCATTGCGAAAACCTATGTAATCTGCCAATGTTCGTAGATAGGAATGCTCACTCAACCAAATCAAAGAGCCACAATTTGGACACGCCCTTCCAACCCTCAGGCAACCACCGTAAAGGTGGCAGGTTGATGTGTACAGAGTTAGTATGGCATGGCACTGACGGAGTGTGATCAGGTCGAGGCATCAAGATTCGGAGGAACGCTGGCTGCAGCAATTGGGATGGCACAGTGAAATTCCAGAATTGGGGTTCATGCAAGCATCAGGGAGCCTATGGTCTTTGCCGAAGTCTGCAGAGGGGTCTATTGATACTCCAGCAGATAACTTCCCCTGCGGTGTTTCTTCTTGAAGCCGAGAATGTCTTTTCCTCATTGCGAGGCCTTTTTCAAACGGGCTCTTGATCTGTTGACTTCATTCTTTGAGCTTGTAGAGCGCTTGAAGTTTGATCGCGTTGACCTATGGACTCAAGGAGTTTTTGTGCTGTCAAGCTTCTCTAGTCCGAAAAAATGTATTGTAGACGCTTGCGGTTGCGTTCACACGTACCCCTACAGGGATGTGACATTGCTGAACTTGAAGCGATTGCTGTCCTGAGTTAATGTGCCACCTCAATAGGAGCAAGGGAAGGAGCCAGGAAGGAATTGAGGGAGGATGGACATCGTCTTGACAGGCCGTTAGGCGGTTGGCTTGAGGGAGCTGCGGCCATTGCAATCATCAGCGTGCAAGAACGGCAGCTGTTGTGCTGGCAAAATGGGACCAAACAAAGATTATCTGATCAGAGGTTTGGAAACGAACCACAACCGACAATTAAGCAACCGGAGAGGCATCAAGCTTGAACGCTTCTTGAAGCCTCACGCGAGCTTCAGGGGTCTTCTAAGACAATCGCCGCCCATGTTTCTGAGGCAGCTGTGGCATCGTCAGAGACTCTTGGCCGCGAAGTCACTTCACAGGCCCAAGGCCAGCTTGCCAATACTTCAATCAAGTTCTGCCTTGTGCTTTCGAGAGTTGCTTGAGGAAGCCAAATCCATGCTGCTTCAATCTGTGTCCGGCTGGGTGGTGTACTGAGGACATTGCGCAGAGCGTGACCTGTGGCACCTTCAGGAGCAGCAGAAGGAGAGGTTTTCGGTGAAGACCACAGCTGTCAATGCAAGCCTCCAGGGAAGAAGGTTTGTCGCTCCCAGGACAAGGAGGAGCTGCTGAAGGAGCAGCAAGAGAGCCTCCAGCGGCAACTGCTGCAAATGAGGCTTGGCTCTGTCAGGTTGATGCTTGTTTTCTTTTTTGGTTTTCGTTGGAAAGCACCCCCACTCAGTGCAGGAAGAGGTTCGTACGGACCATACTGTTTTTGGGCCTCTGCTGGTCCGCCGCATATGGCTGCCGCTCAATATGAAAGGTCCGGAACAAGGGCGAGCGCACATCCCGATCCAGACTCCGATCCAGAGCTCCGGATCAAGTCCCCGAATTCCGTTCCAGACCCCTCCATTCCAGACCATCGAATGCAATACCT